CCCGTAACATAGACGTGGCCTCAGTTACAGTAAAAGACCAAATCTTAATGAGAAGGCCACTAATGGAAAATAAGTCCAAGTAATTAAGCTTCTTCCGGTCATGTGTCCATCTTGACCCTGGAAGTAATACCCCACCGGGGGGGGGGAGGGGTCTTAGGGTGACAGGGGGGGGGGACCTGACGGGGGCAACATTTGATTGATGGTAAGCCCCTTATACTACTAAGCTCTGCCATAATCAGCACTTGGCAAAGCACTGTAGGAAACAATCCTGCCAGGCTCTGGGATTGAATAAATTATTTTAAAGTAATCTTAGACGGATTAGATTTTTATGGGTAAATGTCGGAAAATGTCCATTTCACCATATACACACAAACCAATGAAAAATATTTCCATTGATGATGACTGAAATGTAGAGACAGGCACGATACGAAAAATGCTAAGGATATTTACTTAGTATATTTTGACATGTAATGTTGACTCCCCCTTACCCCCAAATTCATGCAACCGTGAAAATTTAAATTGATAAAAATTGAAAAAAATGCTTAAAAATAAACATATTATCCATCAAAATTACAACAAAATAAAAATCAAATTCTGCCAATCTTACCTAAAAGATTGTGTCTATCACTAAGGTCTATGAACCAGGCCACATGGGGTAGATGAAAGGTTTGAGTCCCTCCTCTCCTTCTCAATCAAAAGTCACTTATTGTGGTTTTGCTTTCTGCCTGTTTAGAGAGCATGTAGTTGGACATATAAAGCGGGCTTCTCTGGTGGAGGCATTAATGAGACATGTACAAGAATGGCACATCCTGTTAAAGCTCAAATCCAAATCTGCCACTTTAACCCAAAATTACTCTGTGTAGCAAATCTTGCTCAGTTTAGTTTCATTAAAAGGCAAGCAAGTCCACAGACTTTAAGCAAGAAAAATACCCCACCAGACCATCCGAAAATTCATAAAGTATGATAAAAACAAATCTTTGCCCCCCAAAACTTATAATCAACTACTATAGAAATCATTTCAATTCTCAAGCCTTAAAGTGACACTTCAACATTTCCCATAATCGTCCAGGAGTTTTGAAACCCTTTCTACCCAAATTCCAACAACAAAAGAGCAAAGTTCCATCCCAACCACCACCACTGAAAATTCACCTTCCCACACCCCTGTTTTATGCCAATATTGTTATTTTAAAATTAAGGTAGCCCATGAATAAAGCAACATGTTTGATGATGTACATCAGGGGTCAGCAACCTTTCAGAAGTGGTGTGCCGGGTCTTCATTTATTCACTCTAATTTAAGGTTTCGCGTGCCAGGAATACATTTTAACATTTTTAGAAGGTCTCTTTCTATAAGTCTATAATATAGAACTAAACTATTGTTGTATGTAAAGTAAAGAAGGTTTTTAAAATGTTTAAGAAGCTTCATTTAAAATTAAATTAAAATGCAGAGCTCCCTGGACCGGTGGCCAGGACCGGCCAGTGAGAGTGCCACTGAAAATCAGCTCGTGTGCCGCCTTCGGCACGCGTGCCATAGGTTGCCTACCCCGATGTACATTATTATCAGATATATGTCATGATAGATGTGCATGGGGCGTTAGGCTGAAAACAAGGCAAGATCCCTGCCCCAGAAATCTTACAATTATGCATCGTTAATACCATGAGTAAAGAAAATTTCAACACTAGGGGAGATTAATGAAGTGACAAAGCAAATGGAGAGAGGGAAAGTCTTCAACAGAACATTTTATGTTTATTTTTGGTGCTTCACATACAGGAACTTTGGGCTGCGATCGTTAGCTTCTTGGGGTATTTGAGACATTTTGTTCATTTGACTTTTAGTCCTACTTTAGTCCTTGGAAAAAGCATCAAGTTCTATGTAAAATTATCTGCTTTCACATACAATTCAAACCGGCTCCAAAATTTTAACTATCAAAATATTTTAACCCCCTTAACTATTTGTAAACATTCGTAATACGCAAGAAATATAAAGAGAGGTAACATATTCCTTATCTGTTTGAGGAGGGTTGGTGGGAGGTATTTGTACGAATAAAGTGTCAGTAAAGACACTATTTACACACAGGGAGGAAAAAGGAAGTTTCAGTTGATCCAACAATAATGATACATTGAGAAATGTTGTTAGTGATGTTTTAATTAAAATTGTATGTGTTATGTTTGAAATACGACTGTGCAAACACCAGATTACACCCGACCAAACTAATGCAATACATTGGTATTTTTATCTCTGGCAGAGCTTCCCAGCCCAGGCGTGCAGGGCAGAGGACAGGTGCAGTGAGGGTGGGAAAAGCTAAATGACCCTAGATCCAATCTTGGGCCAGATTCTCAGCGGGTCATAGCTCCGACTCCACTGAAATGGAGCTATGACGATTCAACCGAGCTGAAGATCTGCCCCCTTGACTCCCCACTGCAAATATTGTGCTGTGCTTAAACTGATGGGAATACGTTGGGAAACACCGATCTAGGCCTATGGGTGATGTGCAAACCACTCAAACCATGCTATCTTTTTTGCGACCCTCCATAGACGTTTATCATTGGGATGGGCAGATTTCCTATTCTTAATGGGTCAAATTCTGAGTGTGTTTGTATTGCCCGGTGATTCTCTGGAAGATGCAGTACAGAAAATACTACGTAATCAGATGCTACAATGATTAGTGCCATGTAAAAGCTCAGCAAGAATCCTTCTCTTCCCTCTTCTTCAAGATGCAGTGTTAATTACAACCCTGCCAAAGGGCACTGTTATTAGGTGGCCATCTTGGTCTGGATAAGAACAAGGTGACCTCCTTGCAAAAGGCAGGAAAGTGAAAAGAGCGGGAATCAGTT